TTTAATTCAGTGGCGGACTTAATGCTTAAGCCGTTCTTGACCAGTAAATCACGGGTGGTGACGAGTCCTGTGGTAGGTGCATTCGTCTTTGAAAGAAAAATACTAATAATAATAAAATAATATCTATCTATACAAAACAAACACAGCGTACATATATACACATTATCATTCAACGCCGTACATATGATAATATAATAATAATAATATGGTTGATTTAATAATGTGTCTTGCCGATTCTCTAGGTTGTTATTTTAAACAAGGGCGGTACGGTTCAAGGTTGCGCAGGTGCCTTTCTGAATCAAATCTACAATATGTTGATACTGAAGCCTTACTTCTAACCCAGTCTTGGGTGGGGAACGATATTCACACTGCATCATCAATGACTTCTATTAAAATCTTAATAATATAGAATCAGTACGAGCATTTTTATTCATATTAGCTAACTAGCGACCCGCCCTCGCTTCGCTTCGGAAAAATTTAAACATACATGAAACAAACAAAAAAAAAATAAAAAATAAAATAAAAAAAGTAGCCTATGTTCATCAGGGACAATGTCGGCTTCTAATGGAAAAAGAATTTTTCAAATCGGTCCAGTAGTTTCGGAGCCTATTCGAAACAAACAAACAAACAAATCTTTCCTCTTTATAATATTAGTATAGATTAGTATAGATATAATACGTGCTTCAAGTTTTTTTTTACGATTTAGGGATTACTTGTGGCCCGGAGGTCTTTCCAGCTTCACCAGGCCAGATGGGCGAGCAAGGGGTCAGTCAGGAGGGGTGGTCTTACATCTACCCGAGCGCCTCCAAAGGAGACCTAAAAACTCAAGAGTACCTGTTTCGCGAATGAATCTACTAGCGGATCGGAATCACGACCCACTGAGAAGATCCGGCGTAGAAGTTAGTGGGCTAAGGTGACCGCATTCTATGGGCTTCGATAACAACTTGGTTGGAACAACTTGGAACAACATGGTGGTTCGTTAGCGCGTTCGTAAGTCTATACAAAAAAAATATATTTATTTTCGATCGTCTTCCGTCTTCATAGTTTTAATTTTTCATTACTATTTTGCACAAAGCAGTTGATGAAACCGGCCTTTTTCAATTGCACGACGCGAACTTTTAAGTATTGAAGGGTGCGCTCACGAGTGGCCACTTGTAACGAATGGATTTATTTTATTGTATACGATGGAGCTAGCAGATTTGCGTTGTAAGTATACTACGTATGTGTATTTCAGGATATTAACCATTCGTATATTTCAAGAGGAAATCAATTGATTTATTTTTCGTTTTAAAAATGTGAATGGTTTGATTGCGTCGATCATGCGTATTTGTTTTTCAGGGCTATTTAAACCTAATATAATATAATATTATATAATATAACCTAATATAACTATTCAATTTATATATATTTATATATATATTACCCCCTCGCCGGGTATCCGTAAATGGATTCCCCAGCGTTAAAAAAAAGGGCTATTTAAACAAAAAGTAATAAATTAAAAGTTTGATACTGCTTATAAGAAAATACTTTCTATTTGAACCGATGCTACCGAAAAAAGACATTGCTTCATTTGAAAGGTTAGTGAGATTTGTTTACCGTAGTCATTAATTGTTGTTGAAACCTGTTAGTATCCGGGATATTTTCAAAGGTTTGTTGATGCACTGAGTTATCTTTTAATACGAGCAGCCGACATTGAGACTAGATCTTTTTGCTTGAGCTTCAGCGTCATGTTCCTTAGACTTAGATTAGATAAGACTAGACCGCAATCATGATATTTAATAGTTTATTCATTATTCACATAGCGAATCACGCTAATAAGTAACATTCTTCAGGTTCGTTTAAAAAAAGTTCTATAAAAATCTCGATAAGTTTCAAAATGAACATCTATACTAATATTATAAAGAGGAAAGATTTGTTTGTTTGTTTGTTTCGAATAGGCTCCGAAACTACTGGACCGATTTGAAAAATTCTTTTTCCATTAGAAGCCGACATTGTCCCTGATGAACATAGGCTACTTTTTTTATTTTTTATTTATTTAATTTTTTTGGTTTCATGTGTGTTTTAATGTGTCCGAAGCGAAGCGAGGGCGGGTCGCTAGTTTCTAATAATGATGAAATTATTTTTAGAATATATAATATTAGAGAATTGACCCAATAATACAGTCTAGAGGTTGAATACTAAAAAAAATATAACACATATGCCGCCATAAAGCAATTTTAACTATTATAAATTAAAATGTATTGATACACGTTTAATACATATTTACAATAAAAAAGAAAATTAGTTTTAAATGAACAAGCATTGATCCTGATCATAATAATACGCTACGTTTACAATTGGATGTACATTTAAGTTTGTTAACTCGTTACTGAGTGCATTTCCGAATCAAAAGATTGTAGAATCGATTAAACAATAAATTTTACTTCACTGAATTTAGTAGGCGATTATTATTTATTTTTTTGCATGTCTCTGTTAATAATTGTTAACTGGTAAAGCGACACTAGGGATGCATATGCTATTTATTGCAGATAATTTTATAAAAGTTCAGGCTACATAAGATGTACGAGGGATCGAGAGTAAATTTTTTTTTAGATTGATTGACAAAAATATTAGAACGTTGCAGTTATTTGAGTTCTTACGTAAGTATACAGATGTGTTATATGTGTGTGAAGATTTTTGCAATTGTCAAAAATTAAGTCTGTTTTCTTCAGTCCATTCGTTTTTCCCATGCTTAGTATAAAACTAATGCCCTACACGAAAAACTATGTGACTCACGCTGCTCCAGTGTATATTTAATTAAAAAATATATTTTACTGGTGGTAGGACCTCTTGTGAGTCCGCGCGGGTGGGTACCACCACCCTGCTTATTTCTGCCGTGAAGCAGTAATGCGTTTCGGTTTGAAGGGTGGGGCAGCCGTTATAACTATAATTGAGACCTTAGAACTTATATCTCAAGATGGGTGGCGCATTTACGTTGTGGATGTCTATGGGCTCCAGTAACCACTTAACACCAGGTGGGCTGTGAGCTCGTCCACCCATCAAAGCAATAAAAAAAAAATGTTATTAATTGTTCAACAGAACGATTTGGACAGAGTTTGCAAGTTAACTTGGTTTATTCTGCTCGAGATCCCAGTGAACGGCGGAGTTAACTCAGTGATTACATCTGAATTCTACGCTCGAAGTAGATAGGTACTCGAATAAACCTTCATAGCTACGGTAGTGAAGTAGAAATGGATACATAAATGAATTTAAGTCGTCGTGGTCTAAAGGATAAAGACGTCCGGTGCATTCGTGTAGAGCGATGCACCGGTGTTCGAATCCCAGGCGGGTACCAATTTTTCTAATCAAAAATTCGTAGTCAATACGTAGTCATCAAATGTTCACGATTGACTTCCACGGTGAAGGAATAACATCGTGTAATAAAAATCAAACCCGCAAAATTATAATTTGCGTAGTTACTGGTGGTAAGACCTCTTGTGAGTCCGCGCGGGTAGGTACCACCACCCTGGCTATTTCTGCCGTGAAGCAGTAATGCGTTTCGGTTTGAAGGGTGGGGCAGCCGTTGTAACTATACCTACTTGAGACCTTAGAACTTATATCTCAGGGTGGGTGGCGCATTAACGTTGTAGATGTCTATGGGCTCCAGTAACCACTTAACACCAGGTGGGCTGTGAGTTCGTCCACACACTTAAGCAATAAAAAAAAAAGTTAAGAAATGTCATGCTGTTTATGCTGCTAATAACAATTACAGCTAAAAACCTCTAAAGACACGGAACTTTGCGCCAGTTGTCACAAGGTGACTTAACGTTATTGAAAATTTCATAAAATTATCGTCACGAATACTTTCGAAATTCCTCGTAGCTACAAAGTTTGGGAGGGAAACGATTAAATGGCCACCATCAATTTCTAGAATTTCAGTTCACGGACATCGTCAATAATGGAAATCGAAAACCTTTGCTTTGCCGTTTGTTAATCTACATTACTCAGTGAGAGTGTTAAATCATTGTTAGTAAAAAGTAAAACATATTATTGTCACAATGAAATAATATTGTTTTGTAAAAAATGAAACTATTATAAATTTATCAGACCTAGAGGTCCCGCAGTAGTCGAAATTCGACTATAATTAATTGGAATTTTATAATAAGTTTGTACACTATTATGATTGTATTTTATACTTCTATAATCAGAAATTTCGCCAAGGCTACACTATAAAAAATATTAATAAAGACAAACAATATTTAATTTTAATCTATTCCCAATTTGACCACAAACGTCAAGAACAAAAGTTTGACAATTAATAGTATGCATGCGTGTGTGCGTCAAATACATGGTATGTAGTGTGTGTAATGTTTTCTTTATTGATTTAATGTATATTTTATGCATTATTTAAAAAAAATATTAGCATTGTGCACTTCTTCTCTATATTCTCTATTAGTGTGGAAAATTTCATACTCCTCCGTCGCGCAATTTTCGTAAAAAGGGATACAAAGTTTTTGCTTCACGTATTAATATATCAGAATGGAAAAATCATCATTGAATTTTTGTAATTAAGTAATTTGTGTCGCGAAATTATAAATTTTATTTAATCTAATAGAAAATTGTTGATTGTAGCTGCACTGTATATCTCTGAGATTTCTTGATTTTAACAGATCAAAGTAAAAATTGTTAATGCGTTAATAATGCGAAAGACCGTAATTCATAGAACAATACCTTTTGTGCGAACGTATTGAAATTGTAGATTGTTTTTTTCGAGAACATTCTATATATTTGTTATTCTAGTTAAAAGAGTTAAAAATTTAAAGACATTTTAAAATAAAAATGCTTTAAGATAATTGGTTTAGTAATCTATCACAATTTTAAAATAAAATAATATTTTTTGATTAGTTTTTTTTTATTACTTTGAAAATTAATGAGTCTATAAAATGATACGATGGTGGTCTTTTAACGAATGGAAGCAGTGAAGTGACGCTTTGGGAGAAGGGCCACAAAAAAAGTCATACCTCTAAATTTTCCGGTATCAAAGCTTTTCTTCTCAAACTGGAGTCTTGGTACCTTGAAGGAGGTACTGGATCTTCTCCTGACACGGCTCGCTGATACGAAAGTCTTCTGCCCTTGGAATCCACTTTTGGTCCGTAAAGATTATTCTCGGGTATCGTCGAAAAATCTTGATACGAATGACATACTTGCATCTGCCTGGTTTTTTCATCTTGTATAACACGTCTGAAGTAGTTTGTTAATCCTTCGCTCGCTAACCAGGTTACTCTGTAGAAAGACATACGAATTCTTAAGTACAGCTACCAGTAAACATAACCTTACCTTTTTTTTATTGCTTAGATGGGTGGAGGAGCTCACAGACCACCTGGTGTTAAGTGGTCACTGGAGCCTATAGACAACTACAACGTAAAGGCGCCACCCACCTTGAGATATAAGTTCTAAGTTCTCAATATAGTTACAACGGCTGCCCCACCCTTCAAACCGAAACGCATTACTGCTTCACGGCAGAAATAGGCAGGGTAGTGGTACCTACCCGTGCGGACTCACAAGAGGTCCTACCACCAGTAAAAGCCTACCTACCTACCAGTAAGCATAACATAACCTTTTTATTTTCACTGTAACGGTCCATATGTAGTTGCTGCCGCTATAAATATATACAAATACAAGAGTGCAAGGTTTTTCGACCTATCGAATTCGATAGTCGATCGACCATACAAAATTTATGTTGATAGTTTTTTAGTTGGACATAATTCAATGCATTGAAAAGTCAGAAGACGCGCGAGGTATAAAAAGTCGTTCGATGCGGGTGGTGTTTAACGACTGTCTTTACTGTATATGTTAAGTTTTACTTGTATCTTTGCTATACCTAACGGATTATTTTTGTTCAAATATTTCGATTCAGAGAGACTGAGTGATTAATTTTCTAACCAACCTATTATTTTTTTACACCTTAACGAAATCTAGTCTAATAAAATCTAATGAAATAAATTTTCTAACTACTGCCATCCGTAGTTCTATCATCTTCTCCGCAAATACCTTCTCCTGTCCGAACTCTTCATGCCGCCCTTCCCTAGTTTACTGGCAATAGGGCACAGTGACAGACTAAATCGGGTACCACCGTTCTATCTATTTCTGTCTAAAAGTATTGGTCGGTTCCAGTTCGAAGGATAGAGGAAGGCATACCATAGATTTTCACTTTATGGATAAAGGTAGTATTTACTTTGTGGAATTTCTTAGAGGCTGACAAGACAGCTGCTCATGAACTCTTCTAGACTTCGAATTAATGATCCCGTAATCCCTATGCTGTAGAAACCCGGAAAAAATGGTTAGGCGAAGAGCTGGGAGCAGCCACACACACAATTGGGACGGTACTCGTATAATCCTTACTACCCACACACAAAATAGGAATGCATTCATTCAGAAAATAGCCCTTTTCAATTATCATTCTTAAGTCCTTACACGTGCCTTGAATACAAAAGTGAAATCAATTATCAATAGCATGTAAAAAATAACGAAATTTGACTGAGACGAATATAATTGTTGACCTTTTTATAATAAAACCTTTCACTCCAGGCAGTGGTATAAAGGAATGAACGGTCTATTGAAAACGTCTTCCCAGCAGGTATGATAATTTTGTGGTAAATGTTCTTGATTCCCCTCCACGAGAGTAACATTCATATACAAAATAAGAGAGTTACGGTTGTAATGTGAGATGGAAACACGGTTCGGCCGCTTTGGGTCGCAGTTGGATGTATTAAGCATAATTTTCAGTGGTTACTTGAAATACAGATTGCGATTTTTTTGTTTTGTTAATGTAAACCAAGCAATGCAACGCAACTAGTGTATTCCGAAAAGATTGGGCGGGCACGTGTCTTTAATATTTCATTCAGATAATAATTTTGTTTTTCAACTTTCTTTTTTGACAAGTGACTGCAATTACCGAGGCTAAATGATTTCTCAAAATTTATTTTTCCGAAATCAAAACCTTATTGCGAATTTCCTGTCAGTTTATAATATATTTAGCTTTTTTTTTTTTGTTGCTCTTATAGGCAGACGAGCATACCGCCCACCTGATGGTGAGTGGTTACCGTCGCTCATGGACTTCAGCAATGCCAGGGGCAGAGCCAAGCCGCTGCCTACCGCTTAATACTCTCCATAAGCCTCGTTTGAAGAAGGACATGTCATAGCGCTCGGGAAACACCGTGGAGGGGAGCTCATTCCATAGCCGGATGGTACGTGGCAAAAAAGATCTCTGGAAGCGCACTGTGGATGACCGCAGTGGCTCCAGGTAGTATGGATGAACTCTACTCCGGTGGCAGGCGGTGCGATGGTAAAAACGAGACGTTGGTATCATCTCGAACAATTCCTCAGAGCACTCCCCATGGAACATTCGGTACAAAATACAGAGGGAACCGAAGTCCCTCCGCAGACCCAGAGGCTCCAAGCGATCCGAGAGAATGGGATTATCGACAATCCGAACGGCCCTCTTCTGTAGGGAGTCAAATGGAATGGAGCTTATTTTGAATATGGCATAAATATCAAGCCCATTTGATTTATCTATGGTGTTTTAGTTATTATTTGCCAGGCACGGTAAAATTTGTATTACATCTGCTTTTCACTCACGGCACACATTTGGAGTAGATCAGGTAGACACTGGTGGAAACCACATTGATGGCTAGCGGGGCCCATTGATCATATGATTTGAATGTTTCAAAATGAGCTATATTATGCATGGAAACCAACTTTTGATTGACATATTTGGATGAATGAGATCCTAATAGTTTTCTTATTTATTGCTTAGGTGGTTGGACGAGTTCAAGGCCCACCTGTTGTAAAGTGTTTATCCATAGACAACTACAACGTAAATGCCGCCAGTCATCTTGAGACAAGAGTTCTAAAGTCTCAGTTGTAACAGTACAACGGCTATGCCCACCCTTCCAACCGAAATCCATTACTGCTTAACGGCAGAAATAGGCAAAGCGGTGGTACCTACCTGTGCGGACTCACACGACGCCCTCCTACAAGAAATTGCGCAAATTATAATTTTGCAAATTTGATTTGTATTACACGCTGTTAGGTATTTGTTCACCGTGGAAGTCAGCTGTAAACATTTGGTATGTACGTATTTTATTAGAAAAATTGGCACTCGCCTACGGTATTCGAACATCGTTCTATCGCTTGTTACGAATGCACCGGGGGTCTTATCCCTTAGGGCACGACGACTACAAAACGCAGCACGCTACAAGGGGCTGTCGGATGCTGCGTGCGTGGGCGTATGGTACTCGACTGGCGGTCTGGTAGTGAGGCGGTGTCTCCCGAGACGACGTCCTTCGGGATATTCCCAGAGATGAAATCCTGTCGTATCATCAGGACGGGTACCGGCGAAGGTGGACTTTTGGCGCGCACTGCGGTAACGTAGGTTTGGTGTAGCCGGTGTGGTGGAGCTTGATGGGGTTTAATCCGATCCGTTACTCCCCTCGACCGGGTATCCGTAAATGGATTCCCCAGGGTTAAGAAAAAAAAAGGATCCTGGTACTTACACGTGCGGACCAATTTTTACCGCAGTTTATCTTTACTTTCAAAACGGAACGCATTAAATCTTGCCGTCAGACATGGGTAGGACGATTTTACTATCTGTCCAGATTCGTAGTACTGGCTAAACTTCTAGACAAACTTCGAGTGCCATAAGTAACTCGATCACGACTACTTGGATTTCAGTCTCTTACCTCTCGAATTTTAGATCGAACTTTATTTTACTGTGACTATCTACGATTAGGGATGTCGACTAACGTTTTTTGCCTATCAATGGTTATGCTTGACTAAATTGAAAGCAGTTTGAATACTATGAACCTAATGGTTTTGTAGGTTGAAGAGTGCGGATGATGTTCCATGAAGTCACCCCAATAATATAACAGACCTGCGAGGGAATGGCAATATTATGTTCCCAGTATCGAAGTATCAGTATCGAAAAGTTCCCAGTTTAGTTGCGTCTATAAAAAGGTTTCTTTTAATGATTTGTTTTTGTTGCGTATATAATTACTTAAAAAATCAAACATGGGAAGTATCCCTATTTATGTTTGCAACGTTGAGAGCGAGCTTTGCAACATTTTTTTTTATTTATTTTTTTGTTACAGCTTTCCCAGGAACTCTCTGTTTTTATTAATTTAGAGCACACAACAAGAAAAACAAGCGTGACCGTTCTATGGAGTTTGATTTGTTTGAAAGGTCGTTTGTGTCCGTCGACATGTGATTACTATAGCTAGTTCGATCGTCAAACGTCTATTAACCAAACTAGTAAAAAATATATTTAAATAGCAAAAATATTGGAATCTGCAAAAGTGGATTTTAAAATGCTTCGCTGCCATTCTGTCGTCGTTACCTGCAGGGTAAGACGCCTGGTGCATTTGTACCTATGCGATGCGACTGTACCAGTGTTCGAACACCGCAGTCAGGTACCAATTTTTCCAGGGAAATAAGTATTTAACAAATAAATGTTCACGAATGACTTCCACGGCGAAGAAATACACCGTGTAATAAAAATCGTACCCGCAACGATTATGATTCCTTTCGGCTTGAAGGGGTCGCAATCGTACTGAAAAACTGAGATAAAGAATTCATGTCTCAAGGTGGGTGATGCGGCATTTACGTTGCTGATGTCTATGGACTCCAGTGATCGCTTAACTTCAGATGGGCCGTAAGGTCGTTCACCCATGTTAGCAATAAATATATATTTTATTAGAATATGTCATTATTACTAGTTAGTTAAAATGTATTGCGATATAATAGTGTTATTTACTTTAAAAACTTGGCAAAAACAATCTCGTTTTTTCGTATTATTAATGGCTCTTATGCTACAAATACCGTGGACTGCCACGAGAACAAACGAGTCTATTCTAAGGCAGCTAGACATCCGAAAAAGGCTCTCTTCCATCTGCCGGGAACGTGTTATGAGCTTCTTCGGACACATCATGCGGTGTCCCAGACATGAATTAGAGAAGCTCATCATTACGGGTCACATAGAGGGCAAGTGCGCCGTGGGCAGAACACCAGCCAGATGGTCAGATCTAGCAAGACAAGCACTTGGTGGTAGTCTGTACCATGCAGTCCATGCCACCCATGATCGGGCACATTGGAAGTACGTCGTATGTGGTCGCGATCCTCAGTAGTGAGGGAACGATATAGAAGAAGAAGATGCCCAATAAATATACTCTCTCAATTGCAATATAGGATCATCGCATCGAAATAAATAAATAAAAACGACAACATGACATATTTTTCCAATATACAATCATCTCTCGTGACTGACTTGGTCATTGGCCATTATGTAGCTAATGAACAAACTACTATGTGTGCTGGGAGTTTCGAATTTGCGTGTGATTAAGAGGCGCTTGACGGCTGAAGACAGTCAGACACAGACATCAAGTGACCATCGTCGCCTTGCCCAAGCCACTGGATCCGGTAATTAAATAAACTAGTGGTGTCGCAGTAATCGAAATTCGACTATAATTAATTGGAATTGTAAGTTTGTACACTATTATGATTGTATTTTATACTTCTATAATCACAAATTTCGCCAAGCCTACACTGTAAAAAATATTAACAACAATATTTAATCTATTCTCAATTTGACAACAGACGCCAAGAACAAAAGTTTGACAATAAATAGTATGCATGCGTGTGTGCGTCAAATACATGGTATGTAGGTGTGTAATGTTTTCTTTATTAATTTAATGTATCTTTTATGCATTATTTTGAAAAAATATTAGCATTGTGCACTTCTTCTCTATATTCTCTATAAGTGTGCAAAATTTCATACTCCTCCGTCCGCGCAATTTTCGTAAAAAGGGATACAAAGTTTTTGCTTTACGTATTAATATATAGATAAATTGTTTATTTTTAAACTAGTACTTATTCGTCCGAAACTGATTTCACTTTGTTAATTATAATATAACAAGTTACTTTGCAAAATCAAGTGCGATTTAATTACAGATGGCTGAACATGTCGATGTCTCGAGTCGCTTGCACCCACGTAAAGCGTTCGAAACATGTTTTATTCATTTAGATTCCGAGTAAGCAATTCTTCAATGCCAATGGTTTGACATCATTACTCTTCAATGCACTAATTTTACTTTAAAAACAAGTTATTTTCAAGTTTAAATAAATTGATTTGCTTGTTCAAAGATAGAACAAAATAAAAACAAAAGTAACAGACATAGTGTAGCGCACGAGATAATAAAACATCCTAACTTTAATGGCGAGATAGAATGTTTAACCAAATACCAGAGCTTCCTCACCTGGAAGATACCGCTCTTATCTACTATTTCACGTATTGTTACACTCATAATAAGTATTGTTCGTGATGATTATATGATTAAAACTACTTCTCTGGTTTATTTCGACTGTCATTATATTATTTCCAACGCTTCGAGTACTTTAAACTTTAGAGTATTCGTGGTCGCACAGGCGACTGAGATATGTTATGCGTTAATTTAGACATTGTGCTAACTATACTTATCTACATCTAGCAAAATCTAGAAAATTCTAGCTGTGATTGCCTCTAATTAGAGTTGCAGTTGTCAATTGCTCTATACATGTCAATGTTATTTTATGTCATACTGTAAACCCTGTCGCTAATCCTTAAATAAATAAATAAATAAAACCGAAGTAAGTACGATAACGATGTGTTCAATTCAATTCGATAAGGAAATTTATATTCTATACCTTGTTAAATTTCAAAATAAAACGTACATAAAATTCAAGCACAGTAGAAGTGAAACCTTCAGAAATATTATAGCTCATTCTCTTGTATACAAAATCTTATGCATACATATATTTTTATGTTATTCGATGGTATTAAATCAGCACAACAAATTCCAGGGAAGCATAGCGACTACAGAACGTGTCTTGAAAATTTTTTGATAGCTAATTTTTTTATGTAATGAAAAGTGTGAAAAAAATCGAGTGCACTTGAATTTTCCGTTGAGAGACCCCACTCACTGCCTCTCACCTCAAAAGATAAGACAGATCCCTTTCTATATAACACGAGCAATTACTTAACCGTAGCCTATATTCGAGGCATATTTTGAAATTTACGTATAAAAATAAATTAAAAGCTGTGTAATTTATTCTGTAGTTTTCTGTTACAATAACAAAACCTATACGAAAATTTCTTTAAAAAATTTGGGAGGCGTTAAAGGTGCATCGTCATAATGTATTTCGTGGTTCAAGTCTTGGATTAAGCACGTTTTTCCAAAATATCCAACGTATATTCACAAAGATGCAAGAAACTAGGTGTAATGCATCCGCGGTACAAGTGAAACATTTCAAAGTATTCTGCCTCCATATTACCTGGCTGTCTAAATCCTATTTATGTTTATATCTTTTAGTCCGCTTTTTCATTTCACCGAGCTGTAAATCACAACGCAGCTAAAAAGGTTTCGCTTCATCAATACTGTGACATTGTGAAGCCGACTATCCCGCATATTTCTATCATACAGCTTTCACGTGTTTCGGTTGGCAAAGCATTATTACAAACTGAATTCTCAAAGTGGTGTTGAGAGTGAGTTTATCATATTTATCATTCACGTTTATATTCATTGATGTCTTCGGGTTTTTTTTATTGCTCTTGTAGGCCGACGAGCTATATATATAAGCTGTCAATATTTTGCAAGTCTCGTACAAAAATAATTATCGATCCGCAGCTTAAATTAAAACTAACCGATTGGATTTGGAGGCTTTCCGTCGCCCTTGTCCGTGGGCTGAGTCGAGGCCAGAGCTCATAGAAATAGCGCGGTTCAATAAAGCTTCTTGCAGGCAGGCTTCATTTAAACCTGAAAGAAAAGAATAGAGCTTATAACGTTCGGTACAAATAACTTATTATAAATTTGGGGTCTTCTTTTTCTTTTTTGCCTTTCGCGGTTGAGACGATGGGCCCTTGGGGCCCTGAAGCAAAGAAATTTTTGTCAGAAATCTCCAAACGCTTGAAGGAGGTTACACGTGATGCTAAGGCTGGCTGGTACTTTGCGCAGAGGGTGAGTCTGGCTGTCCAACTAGGTAACGTAGTCAGTATCTTGGGAACTGTGCCTCCTTCAAGCGCATTGGAAGATTTGTTCTACTGTGTGAGTTGATTTATGTTAAATTATTTTGATTTGCTATTTATTAAGACATCACAAAGTACTTATTATAAATTAAAAGTAAATTTTGCGTCTTGATCTGCGTTTGGGCATAACCCAATCCACTTGTTAGCTCTTTTCAAGTGCTACAAATGTACAATGAGCGTTGCTGGTTTAATCTGCAAAGGTATGTGCAGATATATTTTAAATACGTCAACCGTTATTGACTCAAAAGTAAAAGAATAAGAGCATTGTTACTGCAGAGGAAAATAGGTTTTCGGAATGAAGAACCTCTATATTAATAACTAGCGGCCCGCTCCGGCTCCGCTCGGGTCTAACAAAGTTTTCAAAAGAACACTTATTGCGGCATAACTATAATAGTTAGACATATGCTGTCGCGACACTTTTTATATATAATAATGTGTTCTGGAAAGTCGTAGTACATTATTTTATTCTATCATCAATAGTTTTCGCAGGGCACCCGATGTAAAGAATATTTTAGGTAATTTTTTTACACCTTGGGTTACATTATTGGAGTTTTAATAAGGAGCCCTAATATTTTTCAACAAATATTATAGCCTAAGTTACTCGGAAATAGTGTAGCTTCCAAACAGTGAAAGAATTTTTCAAATCGGTTCAGTAGTTTCGGAGCCTATTCAATACAAACAAACAAACAAATCTTTCCTCTTTATAATACTACTAGTATAGAAGAATCGCTATCAAAAAATATATTTACTAATATATTTTAATCCGAAAGATTCTGACCGAGATCGAATAGACGCTTTTAAAATGTGGTGATGTTGCCGATTGCTTAAAATTCCCTGGACGGCGTTTAGAATAAATGCATTAATTCTAAGGGAAGAGTGCCAATTATAGGCGGCTGTAAACCGTATGTCTATATCGTGTCCTGCAACATTCGCATAGCCCGCAGGAGCCCTCTTAGTTTGATGAGGCTCTTTGTTACCGGCAAAATTGAAAGCAAAGGGCCTAGAGGCTGAAGCTTAAAGCGATTGTCTGACTAGATAACGTAGCAACTGGAAATGTTGGTCAAGCTCTGGTGGAACCGGGCAAAGGATAAGATAGGTAGAGAAAAACAATGAGAAGACTACAGAAGAGCCACGATCGTCAACAATGAGTGAAAGACTGAGAAGAAAAAGGTATTTTAAGCACGCAATGTAAAATAAAACTAAAATAGACTTTTTTCAACGGTTTCAAAAGACGGGACAGAGTGGCAGCTACCTTCACTTGATGAGTAGATTCCAAATTCACGAATTTTTGAAATGAAAAGCATTTAGGCTTAATCTATTTATTTATTTATTTATACTTTATGCACAAAACAAAACTTGTACACAGGCGGACTTAATGCCATGGGCATTCTCTTCCAGTCGACCATAGGGTGGTGCAGAGATAATCTAATTAATATTCTTCATTAACTTTTAGGTAGTATTCAATTTTAGAAGCGGTACTTCCATATCGTAATTCAGAGCGGTGTGAAATTTATTTTAGTAATATTTTAAAGTTATAAAACAGTACATATGTAGCTTTGCTGAAGAACAATCATTTGCAAATCAAAATCAATATATTATTATAACGGCCGTCTGGTGTAGTGGTAAGTGACATGGTCACTACACAAGAGAGTCGCGGGCTCGAATCCCGCCAAGAGAAGATATTTTGTATGATAAATATAAAATTTCTTTTCCAGGGTTATGGATGTATATTAAATATATGTACGTGTATAATAAAAATCTTACATTTATTTTCGTTATCTGGTACCTGTAACACAAGTTCTTTACGAACTTAGCACGGGACCAGTTAACGTGGCGTGATTGTTTTAAAAAAAAAAGGCAATATATATGTATAATCACGTTTTTTAATCTGAAGGTTCCAACTATGTAACATAATGGTTATAGTTTTATTAAATAATGCTTACGAAAAGAAAACCATTAAACGTATACTAAAATGGTTAATAGTATGGAAGGGTTTCTAAGTACCTAATTAAAAAAGTAAGCTCTTTTCTTATTACATTCAGAAATATCATTAACAATTAAACTTTTTAATAATCATAAGGAACATTAAGAAGTTAGTTTCAATTCGCAAAAGATTAAATAACTATTTTTATCAATAAATACGCTGAGCGTACGACGTGCGCGAAAAATGCAACATACAAAAATTAAATCGAATCTCTAGTGAAAAGCAATGTAACACGGATTTTAACAGGATTCAAAAAAGTTTTTCTGAATTAAACAAATCGCAATGCTAGCTTAAGAATACGACTTACACACGAAGCTTGGCTCCACAATGCGAAAAGCTTAAAGAAAACTTAGTAAGTTCCCGACCAAATCCGCTTCCACGTTGTTCAAGAATTAGATGTGGTACATTCTGTCCTTGCAATACAAATGCAATAGTTAGTTACTTGAATTGTTAGTGCAAATATAGAAAAATGATTTTACGAAGGTTTTCATTATCCAAACGAAAGATTTTTTTCAATATTTGGTTTTCATTTTTCACTCATCTCGTCTTCGCAAAAGCAATGCAAAAGCAATGTAATGCAAATAAAACTTTACATTTCGTAATATAAAGAACAGGAAATTCGCCAAAGTGCGGGTTTTTTTATTGCCGTTACGCCACGAATGGTCTTAAGTGTTTATCGGAGGCCACGCATACAAGTCTGAAGTCGATGTTTCGATTGTTTTCTATATCTTCATAACTGTTGTTCTAACTTTGAAGTTCGAATGCAGGACTATTTCACTGGGCAGCATAATGTGCTAATAATATAACAAAAATCCATCAAAAAAGGTCGGAAATACCTTCTTAAAAATCAGTCTGTCTGAATTCGAGTATAGTTTTTTTTTTCTTATAATTTTTGCCTCTGAAACAAAATGATCAGCGCCATTTGAATTACATCTGCTCGTTCCCACGGAAGGGAAAAGCCTTTTACGTTTAAATTAACCGATAGAGGGCCAAATCAAGTATTGATTGAACAAATATAAAATAATAGACTTTATTACAATAAAAAAATACATTTACGAAGATTGATTTACTTCGGCAACAATCGCTTATAAACTAATTCGTGGGTAGTCTTTTCTTTGGGCATTCAATTTCTAGACTATAAGTTTGGATCCGGAAAAATATAGAACAAGGTACGGTCTATGTTTAATAAATACAACGGCGTGAATTAGGAGGGGCCGGGTGTGAGCTATTGATAGAAATCATAGACATTCTATCGATGTCATAGATATGATATTCATATTACTAATACCGATATTGACGCACAGCCTAGAAACCGAGCCAGAGCTGTCTATTGTCAGAGGATATCTGTTTTCGATGTCAGGTCTAGCAAATAGACGATGAAGCGAAAATTTACTAAGCACTAACGTTCAATGCAAATTCGCAAAGCGCATACTTCAACATAAAGTATAATATTTTACCTTAATATAATTTCGCATACACCGTGAGTAAGAACCTTATATAAACTGGTACACAAAGTAAACGAAAAACATAAATAGCTTATAAGCTTAACATCTATTATTCACAACTGAAACTGGGTCACGATTCTTTGTGCCTATTGTGAATTATTAAAAAAAAATAGCTTTATACAATTCTATAATAGAAATCATGCTCTGACAAGTATTAACATGAACACAGCTAAAAAGAAATGAGCTAAATTAATCGAGCCCTTTTTAAGTGACGCTCCGTCATACATGTGGCAATTGAGTTTTATTTTTAAATGTGCACTATGCGACCCTAATGTACGAGGACCGCCAAGAATATATCGGTCTCCGGTCAGGGTGAAGCCAGAATAGCCCCTCAAGGCTACTGGCAGATAGGTAAGCAAAAAAAAAACTTCGGCCTAGATACGACTTGCTTCCAGAGACGCATGAGACTTACCTACCTACATACGTACAATGTGACGATTAGCGTTGACTTGGACCCCGTACGTCGTATTACATGGTATTTACGATGCAACTTCAATCTATTATCATACATTTGGCTTTCGCCGAAAAATCCAAAGGCTGTTCAGTTATATATCCTTTATTACTACTTTTTTTTTAATTGCTTATTACTATAATTTCACGTGGGCTTCGCTTTATTTAGAGTACATAAATTGCCTCATCCGGTACACTTCGAAAGAACGTCCTACTGCTGCCCTCGCTCGATCAGTGAAATCCGCCATTTTTTTGTGCGTCGCCTCGCGTTTTTTTTGCCAGGGCGGAACTGAACAAAAGTTTAGGATAGTTATGAAACTACATAGTATTTAAGTCATAAATTATTCTGCAAGCCAATAGTCTTAGTCTTTTATCATTTACTACTTTTAATGTTTACATAAATGATGGGCATGAGGGTTGACTCTAAATAAACAAATCTTAATTATACTTCAATAGAGTTTGTTATAAATGTTTGTTTCTAGTAATGTAATTTAAATAAAATTATCCTAACAGTTTTATGACTATAGTATAGAAATGAAATCAGCAACTTATTTACAATAATATTTTAGCTCTATTTATTTAAATAATTTAATACATATATCTCCATATATTTATTAATCCATGTTATTTTGTTGTTAGTTGCTGTTATGTTCCTAAATTTATTAAAATTCATAAAGTACCATTCAACTAGACTTTATTTTTTTTATTTATTTACTTTTTACACTTCATATAAAATTTACAATGGCAGACAAATGGCTTAGGCATTCTATACCTGTCAACCAAAGGTAGTGCAGAGAAAATAGTGGAAATAATACTTTACAATTTTCTTACATCAATGTCGTGGCCTAAATCGTAAAACGCTTGGTGTATTCGTATCGTACGGTATGATTTTGGCAAATTTCAAATGCAGGCTGGTTCTAGGCTTCCATCATGAATTAAAAACATCGAGTAAAAAAAAACGAAACCTGGGAGGATTAAATTGAATTGAAAAGTACTGGTTATAGTTCGTATTGTGTACCCCTATTACCATTCTAACTATATTTATTTCTGCTGCGAAACATTCATGCGTTCCGGTTTGAAGGTACATCAAAAATTGAGATTTCCACCTCATTTCTCAAGATCGGCCAGGCTACTCACGTGTATGCGCTTCGGTAATCATTTAAATCAAGGTGATCACTAAATGTGAAATGTGTTCTCACAAGTATTTAAAGTAATACCAATATATTGTTGTAGAGCTCCTAAATTTCATTAAACTCATCTATTTCCACAAATTATTTTCAATAATGGGTTGCTTTAAAGAAATCGGTCTAAGCGATAATACCAATCACCAAATCAAACCAAATAAAAAAAAAATAGTCAACATAAATGAAAGTACATGCTTGTTGAACGTCAAAAAGAACTACCGCCAATTCACAAAATCCCCCAAAAAACCCTGAATTTTATTACACTATTAAATTTGTAGGTAGTTTTAATAAATATGTGATATATATATAACTATATATATAACGTTTTTATTACATCAAAATCTAAATATGTTTATGTAACTAAAATGAATAGTAAATAACGAATAAATACTATTTTTAATGACGCGATTTACTGTAACGTTCTCACTGTTGAGAACCGACCATCACAAGCTTACAAAACATGCGGGTCATACAATTGAGTGAAAAACTAGTATTTCTTTACATTTGAAGTCGATTTAATAGTAATAACGCGAGTTTCATTAGTCTCTAAGTAACTAATGCTAATCTGCCGATGCCGATCTATACTGAAAGAAAATAAAAGAAGTGTTTACTCGAACAGCGATCTCTACACCCTCCTACTTTATTACATTTCAATCTGGAGTACTCATGCAAATGAAACGATAACAGCGGGATGCGTCAGAGTCAACCTTGAATATATACATTATGTGTTTCAGTATGCACATTTATATGTAAATTAAATTCATTATGTAATTGATTCGATTTTCAAAACGTATTTTTTGTGTGTACGATAAAATGATAGTAGATTTATAGGTTTGTAGGTTTTTTAACGCTAATCTCCACATTAATTTATTCAGTTTGAATATTTTCAGAGAAATTTAATAGACGCTAAAAATGGATTTGTAGGTATAGTTTGTCACATAAAAATATTAGATAAACAATAAAAAATACTTTATAAATTTGAAAAAATCGGTTTGAATTTTGACTGCCATATTGTTTGTTTAATATGTATGTATAGTAATATTATAAATGCGAACATGGGTTTCTTACTACCATAAACTTTCACTTTTTTTGCTATTCAACAGATTGTCAGGAATAAATAGAAGGATTCTATTGGATAGCTCTCACCCAAAAAAAAGGATCTTGATACGATTTTGCATATTTATTCTATATGATCTGGTATATATTTCTTTACTTGCCAGCATTGCATAAAGAGCGTGACAGTTTTTGCGGTTTTCATCAACTCAACTCAAAATGAAAACCAATCAACACAAAGCTTTATGAAAACATCTGACTATTCGTTGCATTTGATTCTGACAGCAGACACGAACCGCAAGAGCAATGTCGCCCAATCTCAGCCGCAGACGGCAAGCGCCACTATTAGTTTGAATAAATCACTATGAAATTAATTTCGGGTGCAATTTCGGTCACTGTCGCTTTCCCAATTTCCTATATACTGCAGCTGTCGCCCGGGGTCTGCGGCAAAGCTTGGAATCATTCATTTACGTACATTTATCGGAGAGGAAGCAGTATGCACATGACAAGGCCTTATACATAATACCCGGAAGTTTATAGCGTTAGCCATAGCGTTTCTTTTTTTAAAGAAGTCCTCATCGATAGGCTTAGTAGCTTGGCTGTACCTCTAGCATTGCTGGAATTGTTGAGAGAGAGGAGAAGACCACTCAGGATCGTACGCCCGTACATACAATAATGCAATATATATTTTTTATGTTTTCATTTACTCACACTGACAACATTGGACGCTACCTTGTCCGTTGCGCTGATATTATCATTAATAATAATAATATTATCATTTATTTAGCCTTCCGTTATTTTTTACGACTTCGTGGGCGGTGTTCTTACATTTAGCATCTGTTTGCGCACGTTTAAGAACAAGATAGGCTACTACAGCTATATATATTAGAGCAAATGAGAGGCGCGGACATTAATTAGCTTTTATGTTATTACACAGAAAATTTTGGTCGCCGTGGCCGAAGCCGGCTTGGATCCATGATGATGATGATGATGACGATGACTACCAATACGTGATAAACGTTCGCAAACCTATTCTTTGTTACCTATAGCTAGACTACTGAATCAAAATACCTGAGCTGTAGCTATTTGTCGGAAGCAATTCAAAGGCTAATCTATACACGAAGGAAACAAAACAGACTGCACGAATACGGAAATGAACATGCCCTCTTCATTACTACAAAGACCATGTAAACTTTTATTTTATTTTTTTATTGCTTAGATGGATGGACGAGCTCACAGCCCACCTGTCGTTAAGTGGTTACTGGAGCCCATAGATATCCACAACGTAAATGCGCCACCCACCTTGAGATATAAGTTCTAAGGTCTCAAGTATAGTTACAACGGCTGCCCCACCCTTCAAACCGAAACGTATTACTGCTTCACGGCAGAAATAGGCAGGGTGGTGGTACACACTCGCGCGGACTCACAAGAGGTCCTACCACCAGTAAAACTTTGCTGTCTCTAAATTGTTTACCAAGGGTTTAACATATTTATATTTTCGTCTATAGAAAAATATTGCATTAGGTGTTATCTTAAGTATTATCATAGAAATCGTGTGTCAATACGTGTTTGAGTGATATTTAAATATCGGGCACGTTACCGTTGAGGTCACGTATTTACTAAGTATGAGGTATATTAAATTTATAATTCTAATTATCAAAAATACTTCTCTACTTCTATTTATCGATTGATTTTATTATTTCAGTGTTTCGTAGCGGACTTCGTTTGTTATCAATAAAAATTTGGGATAAACACATTTTTCGCATGTTTATGTTTCGCACGCACTTAAATAATTTTTTAGTGAAATCTATAACATTCATAAGTTTCATTTAAAGGTATTTTTATTATATTTATTGTTATTATTATTATAAAACTTACGACGTTGGTGTGGCATACATAATACACAATAAACATTCGCTTTTTATCTGAGCTTTCAAATGTGGTTAGCAGTTAATAGCATTTCTAAGTTTAAAACTGATTGGTTTTCTTTAACCCACGCACTTCTACTGCTGGATATATGCCTCCCCCAAGGCTCACATGACACAATCTTGCGCAGCCTACGTCTGTTTTAATATTTTACTCTGGGCAAATGACTTGACTTGTAAACTTGACAGAAAAATATATGACAACAATTGCTCTTTGATAATATAAATACTATAGAGCTCAATGTATTGACACGCATACGTCGCCTAAGCAATCGATGCGGGACCACTTATAACTGATAAAATGTACAAAGATAGCTAAATAATTCGATTGCGACCAGTAAGCGCACAGCCGACAACTAATTGGTTTGTTCGTGATTAAATCGTGACAAGCACACAAGTCGACCGCATCGCTTTGTTGCAGTCAGTTAAAAGATTAAGCACCATCAGATGCGTATTAATTACTTCTATCGCCTTTTATTCGACTATTAAGAAGTCATGAGCGTTTCTTCAATTATTTCTTTTAACATTTCTATATCCTTTCCTAATGTTTCAACCTACCTAACCTAATACTTCACACTCATTGTTTTTTGTTGCTTATGGATAAACGAACTCACAGTCTATTTAGGAGGTAGTGGTGGGACAAGTTGTCTTTCGGAGACCATAGACTTCACAACCTAAATGTCATCACTCACCATTCCACATTAAAGAAAGTTTTAATTTAATTCGATTGTGTAACTACCACCCCATCACTCTAAATCGAAAGGCTTCTTAGGAAGGATACTTAGCATTAGGAACACTCAGGAATTACGTGATACGTACATAATGATCAAATCTTATACATATACTACGCTTACGCTGGGATAATTAATTGACAAGCTTCATAATAATAACAATACTTAAATGAAGATCTTAGAGAAAAAACATTGAATTCCATATTCTACCATGATTCAACGTGAAACTGAAGTTTTCAAATTGTATATCCGAGTAAAAAAAGTATGAAAAAAATATAATTAAAAAATTTGCACGTACTATTGATGCTGCTAGAAGAGTGGTCACACAGAGGCTGACTGGCAATTAAAGCTGGTTGACTACCGGTAAGACTGTCCTCTTCAGATAAAAGGTCGGTCGGTGGCCGGTCACTCTGACTAGCCGATAAACTAGACATGCTGCACCCCGCTGTCAGCGATGACTGTAAGCTAACGTTGCTCTCCTGTAGATATCCCTGAAATACATATCAAGTTTTGGAATTTATTGGAATTTGTTTCTTAACAATCTATCTTTAAGGTCTCATTACTATTTGATTGGAAGTAAAATAGAGTTCCCAAAAGCACAATATTTTTCAGTTAAATACATAAATTAGACTTCATCATGTACTCGTAACATTTAAACGTCGAATTGCATTGTACTCAATTGTCACGTCTCATCTAGCGTCTAATATAACTTGAATATTATACTTTTGCACATTAGTATTAAAAAATAAATGATTTAATACATTGCTTGAATAATTAACATAGCTTTAAAGTTTTGGTTTAGAATTTAGCTATGTTGTCGGTTGGTTTATGGTATCTACCCCTAATCGTTCAGAATGCGTCCTACCAAAACTAGTTACGCTAACATGTGAGTGAATACGTCTTACGTAAAATTTCTAACTGGGGGATCTGAAACCTGGAATAATCGCATCGCTTGATAGGAGTGCATTGGGCGCGCACTAACTTCATTTAATTTTAAGTCTCAATTGGACCCAAATGGAAATTTATGATTGGGAGAGGCGTACAAGATAGTAACATTGCTGAAATAATCTCCAAATTGCACCTGTAATGCGTAGTGCAGCGATAGAGCAGATGAGCCCCCGGGCTACTTAAGTTGTTCAATATCCTCTACACAACTACCGGATGGTAGGACTTTCTGTGATTTCCCAAAGGTAAGTAAGTACCTACTTCATTCTACTGGAAATTTGTAACACTTTTCCATTCGAAGAGTAGAGTAGCAGTTGTAAGATATAAATGAAACCTCAATCTCGTGTTTGAAGATATGCGGTTTCTAGTTGCTTTCGGGTTGTGCTTCAATGACCACATTACATTAGGTAGCTCATCTACGATTTAATATATTAAAAGACATAGAGCTCCTCAGGTTACACAGCGTACTAAAGAAATAGACTTCCATTTAGAAACGCACATAAAATCACCTATACACTCGGTAAACATTACCCTTAAAACGCTGCTATCTCCGGCAGACAGCGCATTTTCGTGACTAATAGGCTTATTTGTCGACATTCGAGAGCTCAGCTCGCGAACCTGAGACCGCAACATAGCACACACCCTCACATGCTACACATTGCACAATATGAGATTTTCAAATCCATCTATAGCACATGAACAAACCGCCAAATTATTAGTAAGTTGTTACCGTCGCCCATCGAGCTGGTGAATGCTAACCGTTGGTTCAAAACAAGTTTTTCAAATTTTAGAAACGCGGACTGTGGCTTTGCTCCAATAGCGAGTGGTGCCATGGCAAAAATGAGATAACTCAAACAACTTCTCAAGGTTCCTTAAATACCCTTAAGTACCTTGACTGACATACAACAGCTTGAAAATCTAGCCCTTTAAGAGATCATCAACCACCAGTTTTAACGAAAACTTATATTATTTGTGAATTTAATTTTCACAAAATGTCATTACTTAATCGTGGGTGTTTTCTATAGGCATGTTTTTAAAATGGTACCCGCTAGAAGATATGAACACCGATATAATTGCATGACGATACGAATACGTGGGACGATTTACCCATTCGGCACTAGACGGATCAAAAGTAGTTTGATTGTAATTTACTTCATCAAAGTTACCCACCTTGATCTAGTGATCCAAATAGTGTAACCTTATTGTAATAATTGCATGGTACTATTTTATTAAAGTCATCGTTATGAAAGTCATATTAGATTCATAATTATTTCAAATAATTGTTATCAGTTCCAAACGACCATAGCTTAGTCACACAACTACATAAGGTGGATCATTTATATAAGCCCTGGTCGCTTTAAGCGCTTCAAATTTCTAACACTGCCTCATTGTTAGCGCAATAATATTTCTCTGTGGAGACGATATTGTTGAAAATGAACCGTCAGACTAGAAGAAACTCTATTGGGCGCAATATTGGGAAAATACTAATACATGAGCTGCGTTCATGCTCTTAACTACATATTGGATCATATTAATTTCAATTTTGTAGTTAAGTTACTACTAATATTTACTATTGAAAAACGTATGTACGTTTCTATTTGGAAAAATCAAAACCTATAATTGGGATTTTATAAATACTAGAATTAGAAATTATTAAACACGTAGTAGCCTAATTTTACGTTTTCGAGCAAGTCATCAGTATAAAGTTATGGACTAATTACGTCAAAACAGCACTCAAGCTGCTATTACAAAAATATCGGAATACTAATGATTTCCTCACCTTTTCAATGGCTCTCCCATTGTAGGCATTAACGGCTGCGCCGTTTTCATTCAGCGATTGTAACGAAACTGACATTGACCCCCTTCGGCTTATGTTTGGATTTTTCGTCTGAAACGATTGCCGTTTAAATATTTCTGTTGTATTTTTTAAAAAACTGTCCATTTTCTTTCTGAAGAAAGAAGATTTTCTTTCTAATGGAGATTTACCAATCGAATGTAGGTCTAATTCAGATTGTGAGAAGCCTCCACGTCTTGTCAACATTGTTTGGTCTAAGGATAGCTTACGGTCACGGGCTTTGACTTGTGGACTTTCAAGAGGGGTTTGTACGACATTAGTATCTGATTCCTGTATATTATTTTGTTCGATACTTGAATCAATGCGAACATAATCACATAAATCACCAGCTATACTGCTAGACTTTCTCAACGAACAAGCCATCGAGTTGACATTGATATCCTCATTGGGCTTATCGGTATTCGTTGAACTATTTAATTGGTCGTCACTGTTTGCACAATCTTCATTCAGAGTTTCATCTGTATCAATAGTTTCGTTAGTTTCAATACTGCTGTGAAGGACGACATCTGGATTTGTCGCGCTTGGAACGGCCGAACTATCTGCTTCAACATTTTCCATTTCATCAAAGAGATCTTCGTTGTCATTGAAATCTTTATTTTGCATAACCTTACTACCCTTGGGAGCCTTTATCCGCATACTGCTGTTCATTTTGACAGTTCTTAATATCTCCCTTATTTTAATGTTCTCTTTTAATGTCTTAACATCTGCGATGAAAGAAGGGGATTTCTCTTTATCCACATATTTTGTTGGTTTGTCTTTTTTAGATTTTTGCCTGAAGCGATCCATTTCAATAAGACGTTAACGCTACAGTTCAGCACAAATTATTTTGTAGTCACAAATCACGTTTTTCTTTCACGTCACTCGACTTCGTTAATTAACTTTATTCTGTTTTTAACATTACACATTGAAATATCGTTCGGCTATAACAATGACGACGTGACTTTGGAAATATATTGAGGAATTTAATATTCGTCAATACTAGTAAAAAAAATGGTAAGGCGCACAAGCACATCGCTATCGCACGAATCGATCCTTAGCACATCGATATCTTTATAGTTTTAGGTCGATGTCACAACTGAGCATATGGGCACGTCACACAAAATAAACAAGTTGCGGAACAGACACGGTCTTTCGCTTGATTAGTTATAGAATCGACGTTCCTTTCAGCGCACAACTATCGCATTATTATTATCACTTTACTTGAGATAATCTTCGATAGCGTTATCGAATATTATCTCTATAACAGTTATATATCTAAATTTACAAATGTTACATTAAATGTATAATTTAAAAACGTTATTATAACATAGTAAAATTGATATCAAGCACGACAGTTTCGTTTCACTTTTTAATGATTTGTCCTTCATATTTTAATTTCCTACTATATTGCTACTTTATCAGTATGGCGGCGGTAAATATGTATTGTCTAAATATTTGATTACTGCGGTTCTCCATTAGATAAGAAGTGTAGGTATTTAGTTGACGTGAAAACACAATAATATTTTTGGGTAATTAGAAAAACTAGTCATTAATCCTTTTTAAGCTCTGGAATGATTTAGCACTGCCTATTTATTATATTTATTTCTCTCTTATTATTATTTCTTATTTGCTTTAAATCTTTTAAATATTTTCTGTTTTCGAACAACATTTTCGATACTAACTGGAGTCACCGTAGTTAAATTGTTTAAACTATAATAAAATTCGCTAATATTATTAACAATAATTATCTTCAACTCACTTTACTTACGGGCCTAGTACTCTTACAAGACACGTCACCGAGCCCAAATTCGTTTTTGTTTGTTTCATATTTGTGTAATTTTTGTTCTATTTATTGTACATACAAATACCCATTACAAAACTGTTAACAGAAGTATAAATTTTTTTTAGAATTTGCAATATTAGTTCGACAGCTTGGTTACAATGAAATTATTCAGGTATGTTCTTCGTGTAAAATATTTAACTTTTTGAGAATTAATCTCAACAAATTAAGAGTTGCTCAAAGGCGTTAATACCGCTTGTCAATTGCCAATAGTAATTAGATCCTGTTGTACTGGACTCCTAAATTTATGCAAAAGCCAAGACGGGATCGGACCTTTGATACAAGTGATAACAATGACCTCAAAGTTTTCAGTTGAGGGTAACCGCGTCTTAGCATTTAATATGTACATATTGACATTATCTTCAATTGAATTTATCGATTCAGCTGTTGTTTTCGGGCGATGTTATGGCAGTTTGAGCAAATCGACGGATTGAAGAGATTATCCACTCATTGCTGAATACGATTCACGTCATTGTTTGTACATCGTGAAAGTCGTTCGTAAACATGTCTTCAATATATATATAATTGTTTCCCTTAAAAAATTGTTTCTGCCTACAGATTTTTTATATTGGTTAATGTCTGATGTTAAATGTTTAAGCAAGAAACGGTTCAGTTCAACGTGGACTAGGTCAAAATTGTTCCCATGAAAACAGCTTACCGCTAAATTGCTGATAGCTTGGTACTTGCGGATGAGAAGGCTACGAAAGATTACGAATACGAACTAATTATCAAGATGTGACGAATGATTTTGTGTTCTTATAACAAAGAATTAAGCGTATAGAGCTACCTATAGAGCTGTCCCAGTTACGAAACATTGAAATAAAATTTAAGCGCCAGAAATCAGTTCGTGAAGCAAGACTGCTGGATAAAGGAACCGTTTTTTATAAAGCCTTAATTATCTAATGAGTTCAGAATCTGTAAATTTATAATGCAAAATGCAAATTACCAAATAAACAAAAGCCTTGTAAATTCAAAACCAGTTTTCATTTCATTAAACGTGAAGATAGCTAGGTAGATTTTTATTTATTACTTAGATGAATGGACGCGGTCACTGACCGCCTGGGATTAAGCAGTTCCCGGAGCTCATAGATGTCGTCAACGTAAACGTTGCCGCCCACTTTGAGACATGAGTTCTAAGTCTCAGTTTTACAGTACATAGCCTGCCGCATTCAAATCAAACCAAACCAAAATCCGGCTTACGTAGGTTTAACCCGCGATACCCTACCTAAGTGACCCCTGGTGGTCCCAAAAGGGAGTTGAAAATATAATCGGTGGTAGAACCTTCTCCAACTGGCTTTCGACTACCCTCCAACTAGAGTCTGCCACCAAATTTTCTAGCTCTGTTTCGGCGTGCGGGTTCGAGAGCTCTGCTCCTTCCTATTCCTCTTCCTTGTCGGACGTGAATCTCGGTAATACTTGGAACAAACGGAGCAGACGGGTGTGCGACCCCGCGGTACGCGGTTTTCTGATGAGGGTACAAGGAGACCCATTGAAACGTCCACTTCCATCACCCACCGCTCATTAGGGGACCTAAACCCGGGTGTCAGTACTAAGCTACGCCCAAGAAGGGTGACCGATCGGCTCCTCAATTCTATTGGGATTACTTCTTTGTTTTTCAAGGAATACAGCGAATCATAAATATCCAGCTCCTTAGTACAAGACAGAATCGACAGCTGAACAGTTACAAGCAGCACGGTTTCTTCTCTCACAGTTACTCGGCCGGCGATCTTCTTGTATACCTCACGCATCGTTGGTCTGAAAACTTGGGTTTGGCCGTAAGCGTTGACATCGCGAAGGCTTTCGTCTGGTATGGAGCACTTATGTCCAAATTACCAGTTTACGGGATTCTCGAAGGATTTTGCAAGTGGATTGCTAGCTGTTTGGATGAGTGCAGCATCACAGGCGGCTGCCCCGAAGTCATGATCAACGATACCAATCAATGTTACACAAGTTTAATTTTTCTCCACGCTTTTCATCCTCTATATCAATGACATGCTATCTATTGATGATATGCATTACTAATGCAATCACAGCACTTGGGGTGCGCTATCTATAGGCCACCAGTCTCTCACAGACCGTGCTGCAGGAAAAACGATCGAAACTTGTCTCGGAAGTGGAGAACGCTCTGGTGAGAAGTGGTATTTCACGCCTAAGCAAAGACTTTTGCTTTACAAAGCATAAGTCCGACCTTGCATTGAGTACCACTCCCAACTCTCGGCCGAGTTCCCAAATACCAGCTACTTTCATTTAAGTCCATACAGAAGAGGGAAAGGATTTAGGTTCTCTCTGTGTTTTGTACCATGTACCATGAAGAGTGCTTTGAGGAATTGTTTGAGATGATCCCATCATCTCGTTTCTACCATCGTACCGCTGGCCCCGGAGCAGAGTTTATCCCACTACCGAGAATCCCCGTGTTCATCCAGTGAGTTTTAAGAAAATTCGTGTAGTAAAACATCGTGTAATAAAAATCAAACCCGCAAATTTTAATTTGCGTAATTACTGGTGGTAGAACATCTTGTGAGTCTGCACGGGTAGGTACCACCACTCTGCCTATTTCTGCCGTGAAGCAGTAATGCGTTTCGGTTTGAAGGGCGGGGCAGCCGTCGTAACTATACTGAGACCTTAGAACTTATATCTCGAGGTGGGTGGCGCTTTTACGTCGTATATGTCTATGGGCTCCAGTAACCAATTAACACCAGGTGGGCTGTGAGTTCGTCCACCCATCTAAGCAATAAAAACTTTTTTTTCTACAGCGCACCATCCAGCTTTGTAACGAATATCCCACCCCTTCCTGCTTTAAATGAGGCTTGCTCTGCGGTAGACGGCGGCTCGGGTCTGAGCCTGGCATTTTCCCCCATTAGGTGGGCCGTACGCTCATCTGCCGATAAATAAGGCCAATAATTTTTTTTAACGGTACTCGTTTTAAAAAGATTGGTAGTTTTTACTAAGAATAATTCGTTTAGTGTTGGAATCGGGCATTAGTCGCATCGTTTGACACGAGTGCAGCGAGCGTCTCACCGTTTACGCCACGAGGACTTCAAAAAGCGTTTGAAGTTATTATTGAAACACTCTACAATATTACAGCTAAAAGATAATGTTGACTATCAAGTAACGGTAGCATTTTTATCTAGGGGTGTGTTAACTTGAAATGAGTTTTTTTATTTTTTATTACATATATGGGTGGATGAGCTCACAGCCCACCTAGTGTTAAGTGGTTACTGGAGCCCATAGAAATCCACAACGTAAATGTGCCACCCACCTTGAGATATTAGTTCTAAGGTCTCAGTATAGTTACAACGGCTGCCCCACCCTTCAAACCGAAACGCATTACTGCTTCACGGTAGAAATAGGCAGAGTGGTGGTAGGTACCTATCCGGGCGGACTCACAACAGGTCCTATCACCAGTATTATAAAATTTCGTCGTGTGTTGGCTGGTTTCATTATGTGGTTTTATTCTCAAACCACTGTTTTGTTAAACGAATAAAATAAAAACACGCAAAGAAAATAAAACGATTTTATTCATTAAATCTCACATCTTGATGATTGTAAAAGAAAAATAAAGAAAAATTTCATAATAAAAATAGCTGTCGCTTTACAGAAATGAAGACAACGCAATGGTACGGCCTTCGAGCGCATCGAGCGCACGTCCTGAATACCACAAGAACTAGCGAAACATCTTCGAGACGACTTTAATTGATTTTGCCGGTGGCACGCGATTTATTCAACCGCCATCTGATTTACAAAAGGAAATATCCGTGAACCTGGTGCTGTACGTTTTAAATTTAAACTTGATTTCTGAGTTCGTTTATTTCTTCGTATCCGGAACGTCAAATTCACTGACTTGAGCGTCAACCAATTGCTTGCTTCGTAGTTTAATTACTGCATGACCGGGCACGTTTGGATCTTCCATTTCGAATTCGATGAGTCCTGTACAAAAATAAAGGTTTATGTATGATTTAGACGATGATATTATTAGATAAGAGAACATATTACGTAACAACTGTGTTTCGAGATTAACATTAAAATGAGAAATACAACATATAATAAAATTGTAAATCTTCAGTAAAAACAAATTCTCTGGGCTAAAATACTACGAAAATGTATTAAATGAGTATATTTGTTGTGGGTTAACATAAAAAAAAAAACTCCAAACAGTCCTATCTTATTTCACGTTAATTGGTTAGATCGACCATATGGTGCATCTGTGGTTAGGTGGTTATCGGAATTGGGCAACTTGAGGGATTAAAATACTTCCTGCTACCAGTAAGGAGCACAATAACTTTAAAAAAACCAAGATTCTACGAGAATACAGAAGGAATGCGAGCGCCTCTTTTAAAACCAAGATCTAATTAAGTGTGCAATCTTAACATTATTACGTGGAGTATTGGTACAACATTGTGAGACGGATTCTATGAGCAGGGTCGATCACTTCATTAATTAATTAAAGTTAGCTCGTAAAGTGAGGTAAGTTCGATCATCAATATTGGATATTTAGACACATGTGTCACATAATTAACACTTAATTGTACACGCTTGTGATATTGCGATTTAAGCAACTTTAAATCGCACGAAATTCACGAGCTCTACTAATTGTGTTTTTGTCTGTTTTTATTTTGAGAAAAGTATAGAATATAAATATAATATAATATATAATATAATATTTAATAAATATAATATAAATCGTAACCGCCATTCGAGCAGCTGAGGACCGGACGAGATGGAAACAGCTCACGAGACAGGCAACGCTCAAGTTTCAGGGACACGACCTTCAGCAGTGAAGAAAGCGACGAAGAAGAAGAATAGAAGCTCTTGTCCCACGTGATCTTAAATGGTAAACGTCGTTGCATGTTCACTAACATTAAATAAGTGCCCCAATTTTAACTAATTTGAGTGAATTCAACAATAGTTCAAAATGGATATATAGGATATAGTTGTTATTTTAGTTATATGTTATTTGTTCTACACACACTCATCACTTTTAATTATTATTCTCATAATCCTCTCGCAGGTCTGCTGGAAGAAATTTCTTAAAGAAATAAGCAGTGCCTTTGTACATAATTTTCCTATTACTCTGTACTATGTCCTCTTTTCTGTGTGTACATAAATAAATAAATAAAAATGGATTTCCAATTTGAAACATCGTCACCGTAGACAACACACTGGCGGTCGCCCTGCCTTCATAGTTGGGATCTAAGAACGGAACTAGTTACAAAGGGAGCAGTTTGATCGTATCTCTTGCAACATCGCTTACGTTGCGTATATGTACTAATACGATTCCCTCGGCTTTGTCATGACAGAAGGCATGAACGTAAAACAATTCAGAATAAAAACCGGCAAATTAGTTGTGACAGTCATTGTAAATCGGTTCAAGTCGTTCTTGCCTTAAGGATAAGAAAGACATCCGGTGCGTTTCTATCGAGCGATGCGACTCTTTGAATCTCTCAGACAGGCAGCAATTTTTCTAGTGAAATGAGTAAATAATAAATCTACACGAATTTACTTCTATGGTGAAGGAGGTTGAATTTGAATTGAGTGACATGGGTAGGTACCACCGCCCTTCCTATTCTGCCGTAAAGCAGTAATGAGTTTCGGTTCGATGGGCGGAGTAGCAGTTGGATTGTAAAACTGAGACTTAGTAATCACATATCTCAAAGTGGATGGCGATTTACCCACCGAGTTTTTCGTTGGATCATCTCAGTGGGTCACGATTCCGATCCGGTGGTAAATTCTGCGAAACACTGCTCTTGCGGGGGCCAGTCTTACCACATTCTCTCAGGTGAGCTCACCTACCAGTCACAGCGTAGGTGGAATAATAGCCCATAGGCTACCAGCATATAAGTAGGAAAAAAAGGATGACGATATGTACGTTGTTGATGTCTATGGGCTCCGGTAACCACTTAGCACCAGGTGGTCTGTGAGTTCGTGCACTCGTCTAAGCATTAAAAAAAAAGAACGACAATATATTTTACTTAACGCCGTAAAATTTAAAAACAAATCATCAGAAAAACCAAATTATTAAAAATGAAACTGAATAAACCTTAAAAGATTAAAAAAAATGTGAAATCTCTAAACAGTAAACGCAATTTAAAAGGATGGTTCAGAATTAATACATTTGTATCAAGCGAAACGGCCAGACCACAGCTAGAATGAATATCTCACTGTAGAATAACAAACAAACGACTCGACAAGCTTAGCTTAAAACGTATAAAGTTTTTCTTTTACGGTTTCGTCTCGGGTTTTTTTACAGTTTTCGTGGCTAAATTCGTAAAACTAAATAAACAAATTCGTAAAACTATATGTAAAACCAACCTTGAACAAATAAAGAATCAAAAGGTTTATATTTATTATGGTAAGACGTCTTGTGAGTCCGCGCCGGTAGGTACCACCGCCCTGCCTATTTCTGCCGTGAAGCAGTAATGCGTTTCGGTTTGAAGGGTGGGGCAGCCGTTGTAGCTATACTGAGATCTTAGAACTTATATCTCAAAGTGGGTGGCGCATTTACGTTGTAGATGTCTATGGGCTCCAGTAACCACTTAACACCAGGTGGGCTGTGAGCACGTCCACCCATCTAAGCAACAAAAAAAAAGTAAATGGCATGGTATTTATGATCGTATTAGTCAGGAACTTCAGTTTTCTGAAAGTCGAAAGCGTGAACATTAATCATAAAAACTGTTAGGAAATCCATCTCGTTATTATTTTTGTTGAGCGAACAGTCAGCAGCTTAAATCGCCAGGCCGTAATTAATCTCGACGACCTCAATTATTTGAGAAAACCATAAATTATTCTACAAAGATGAGGTCCTAACCTCGGTTTCCGCACAGAAAGTACCTACATCCCGGACCCGCTTTTGTCACTCGAATTTCATGGAACGATCGCAAAAACAATTTCAGCAAAGGTATTTAAGGCAAAAATACAAGCATATTCGCATACATATTGTGTATACCTACACAAAGCACATATCCGTTATAACACTTTCATATTCCGGAACGAACTTTTTTGGTCCTAAACTGCTTTCATAATTTCCTAGTCCAGGCCTGAACTTGTTCATGGCTGTTTGCTAACTTCAAATTAACCTTTGGACGGTAACAAAAATATTCAAGGATCAAAATTATTCGTTCCTTACCGAAAATATTTTAACGTTTTTCACACATCTACAAAATTTATAATTATTGAATTAGAATCAAATATGCATACGCATAATATAAGTGTTAATTTATGATGTCGTAAAAATGATAAAATCTGCAGTTTTATACGTAATCTTAAGTATTTATAGCACGTGAGGCCTCGTGAATTGTAGTATCGGTTATTCTACTATTAATATCTGCACAGCATCACACAAATAAGCGGCACCCATCAGAGCATCGCAGATCTCTCACTGAACTATAACCCTAAAAACTTTAGGGTATAGTCGCCATATGACGAAGATTTTTTTTCGAATAACAACCGGTAAATACAGTAAATAGTGCGATACTACAGCTTCATCAGATTCCGGTTAGTGCTAGGAGCATCTGTGGATCTTGGAACCCGGGACTCTTGTCCAGTGTGCAATAAAAAATAACCAGTCCGGCGCAAATATTTCAAATAAGGAATAGTACGAGTATATACCAGTAGGTTAAGGTAGGCTGAGTTGCAAATTCGTAAACTGGTACCAATAGCAGCATTAATGTAATAAATTTCAATCAAACGAGATATTAAATCTTGTGCATAAGATTATTTACCAAAGAATAATTTACTATAAACCTTTCATTTTTAACTTCATTTTTCTTATTTCAAGTTTTCATAGCAAAGCATGTTGTAACCTTGCATAATTGGTTACTATCATCCTATATGTTTCTAAACACTCAGGTGTCATTGTAATGACGTGAGTATCTTAAAGAAGGCGACACAACGCCTGTGTTACTTAGAACCCATAAACAAATCCTTATAATATCTAATTTTGATAAAACATAACACCGAGCTTAGAGTAGGATTATATGTGGAAGGTCTTTTCCAAGGAATGAAGGTACAAAAGCGGTACTAAAGACTCAAACAAAGAAAACCTTTGTTGCAGAACACAACAAGCTTTTCAAGAACATTGATCCTACCAAGCCGAGTATTAAGGAAACTGTTCTTCGCAGCAAAGAACCTATTTCCATATAATTTTGAGGAAGCACATCGTTAATAAAAGGAAATCCTGTCTACTAATTAGTTTATGCATTTAAGAGCCTCCACGTCGGCGAACAACGTTGTGGAAACTTCACCATAAATAAGATTTATTTTCAAAATTACTGATCAACTAACTAGCCTTTGTTTACTTGCAGTTTATTAAAAGCTGTGCATATATTGTAAAAAAAAAGGTTTAAATATATTTTGTTCGTAATGTACCTTGAAGATGTCGGAGAAGCTGTTGTGGGAATTGAAACTTGGAAATTTAGGGAGAACAACTTTTGTGAGTGTATTATTTTTTTAAACACTTTTAACTACGAAGTATTTGATGGATGCATGCATAACCGCGAGTTTAGGGTCTATCAAGTGTAAGGCGGTTATCGTATGTAAAGTTCGACACATAAATCGTTACTTAGTTTTTAGGCATATCTAATAATGAAATACCTAAATAATTGGCACCTAAAGCTAACCTGTTCGATTAAATTCGTAAATCTTTTTGTTATGAATCATAAGTAACATTCACGAAGTCATCACCGATTTCAAAAAAGTGATACGTGATTGGAAACGAATTAGGTACTTTACATAATTTTGAAAACATTAACTTGGGCGAACAAAGACTATTAATAACGTTACAATCCTCGTAAAACTGGTTTACCATTGTACTTTATTGATTTTCACTAAATAGTAGCTTGAGTTGCTGAATTCCTGAATTCAGTAAAACTGACTGTACTTTTCTATTTCCAATTCAAAATGAATAGGTTTTTTTTTTTAAGTGATTTTAT